GGAGGCAAGTTGTTCCATTGATTAATTGTTCTGTCAGGAAATTTCTCCTTAGTTCTAGGTTGCTTCTCTCCTTGATTTGTTTCCATCCATTTCGTCTTGTACTGCCCTCAGGTGTATTGGAGAATAGCTTGACTGCCTTTGTTTTGTGACAACCACGGAGCTATTGAAACTCTGCTATCATGTCATTCCTAGTCCTTCTTTTCATTAAAGTAGACACACCCAATTCCAGCAAATTTCTTTTCTTTATGTTTTGTTTTCTTATATATCTTTGTTTTCTTTATGTTTTAGCTTCCAGTCCCCCAATTATCTTTGTTGCTCGTCTCTGAACTATTTCTAGAGTCTGAACATCTTTTTTACACTGTGGTGAGCAAAACTGGATGCAGTATTCCAGTTTTGCCACAATGTAAAAAAGATGTTGAAAAGAACTTACTAATGCTTCATGTTATTCTAATCAATTAAGTGTTTCAACTTCAAAAATCACTTTGTATAGCATAACAATTAGAACAGCATCAGAATATTTCTCAACTAAGCTGGAACAACTTGCTTTAAATTTGAAACAATTATCTGAATTTCTTGTAATTTACGCTAAAAACATTTTGAACTATCTGTTATTGCCTTCTGAAGAATACTTCTGCATGCAGAAACATTTCTACATCAGAAGTGTTCCAGTATAGGGAGCTTTTATTTTCTCCTAACTGCTCCCCTGCTCTTTTGAATGCTAGAATGCTTACTTATTGTCTTGTACACATCAAAAGCAATATGATTGCATCTCTTCACAGATTGTTCTCTTTAAATCTGTTTGTATCCAAATTCTCTGATCTTGGAGAGTGGATAGGAGGTGTGAGGAAAGCAATTTCTATAGGCAATCTCTGCTATGCCAGAGGCAATCTATGCTATACTTTTCTGCTGCTGGTGCAATCACATTGCTTTTGAATTCTTATAAAGTGCTTATTTTCTTGCAATCCCTCTCTCCAATCTCCCTATTCTGGAAAGTGGGAAAGAAAAAAGAAACCACAGTTTAGGCGCAGGACAATACATACTGATTATATTGATTACTAGCTGTACCTGGCCACGCATTGCTGTGGCCCAGTCTGGGCATAGTAGGGCGGCAGGTGGGTGCTGCCATTTGTCAGGACTCGGGGCTGCTGGGCGGGGCGAGGCTGGTTGGGGTAGACGGCGCAGGGGCTGTCGGCCTCGTGGAAGTTGTTGAGCATCTCCTCAGAGGAGCTGCTCTCGGGCTCTCCCAAGTCGGTGGCCTGGGAGAGTGAGACGTCCAGGATCTCGGAGGAGAAGACCTCAGTATGCCGCCTCACTGGGCACCCGGGGCCACCCCAGCCCCCTGACCTCAAGCAGACACTGCCACTGCTGCCCCGTCAGAGCCTCCTTGGTGAGGCTATAGCTGGCTCACTATGAGGGGGGGTGGAGAGTGCACACGGCCAGCTGGGCTGAGGAGAATTCCGCCTCTGCCTCCTCTAGAGCTCTGCTGGGCTGGCCGGGGTAGGCCAGCTTAAGGGTGGGGGGAGGCGGCCGAGGGATGGCATAGGTGGTGCCCCGCCGCAGACAGCAAAGGCCCGGCGGGAGGGGAGGGGAGAGAGGGGAGGAAGAGGCCGAAGGGCTTTGGCTCCTCTTGGCGGAAATGGCCGAAGCTCGTCAGAGGAGGGGCAGAAAGGGGAAAGGGTGCGGCCGCAGCCCAGCCACAGATATAGAGGGACCGTCAGGATGAAGCTGGAGAGAGGCCAAACTGTTCTGAATATACTATACTCACTAAATGAACGCTATTGTAAATGACACAGCTCAATTCCAATGCAATGTCACACGAAATAATTAAATCAAAATGAAAATAAATCAAAATCTATGAAAATTCAATATAACAATGCAATCGGAAACATTGAAATGGAATCATGAAATATTTAGTATGGCATGTGTTGCTTTTACGTCCACCAGATGGCGCTGATTTTCAAAAAAGCATGTTTTTACAAAAAAGCATGTTTTTACCTGTCACAGATGTGACATCTATATAATATACGTATATAAAAACATTTGTGTATTCGAATGCAACGTTGTGTCAAAATTTCAAAGCAATCGGTAAAGAACTTTCAGAGATTAGCGATTTTGAACAAACAACCTTTACGTTTTTATTTATACAGATAATGGCAATCAGATAATTGAAAGATGCTGAGAAGGTTGTCAATGGTTAAAAATAGAACAGAAAGTTATTTTTAACATGACAAAGAAGATCTTCTTGGTATAGAGCCACTCTAGGCAGTACTAAGCCACCTTTCAAAATCTCAACTGCCATATTCTGCCCCAGTTGCATGGTACAAAGCCACAGAATTTCAGGAAACCTCAGCAGTATGGTGCCATGCTGCTGTATTCCAACCCCCATAGAGTGACATAAAATTACAGGGCCTTGGAAACCAGTTATCCCAGTCCAATCTCAGCGACGATAGGCAGAGGCAGCTAGAACAGCTGATCAGCGGTATTCCATGAGGCCAATCCAACTGCCAATCAGCTGCTAGACAGTGAAGGCTCCAGCATTCTCATTGTGACAGCCACCAACCCCTCTTCCACCTGCCGCAAAATTCACTCTGTAAGATGCACAGACATTTCCACCCACTGGAGGGGGGGAGTGTGTCACAGTACGAAAATATGGTTCTTATTAAACACTAAGCAGTAAAAATGCTCTCTGACATAAATAAAAACATGTATTTTTTACCTGATTAAAAAAGAACAGAAATTTGGGTTAAAATCTTAGAGCTTAATTATATTGATATTTAATGAAATAATTATGATCAAAACAGTAATAATTGAAACCTCTGTCAAATCAAATAATAAAAAATAAAAGGCCAGTGTGAAAATATTATATCATGTTTAAAAGTATTAATTTCTTGCCACAGTTGTTAAGTGAATCACTGAAGTTGTTAAGTTAGTACTAATTGTTGAATTACATGTAGAAGTGTCTTTCTACTGTAGAAAGTATCTACCACTGAATGAAATCTTTTCCTCATTTTCACTTGTATAGTACAGATATGCTCTAGGAAGTTGGCAACATTCTGCAGGAAAAAAAAGAAATATATGCCGCCTATATGTGATGAGAAAAAACAAGTCTTGCTACATCAGCAGAAGTGCACTCCGATTAGTGTACAGCCCTAACTCCACAACCACAATCTCCTATGTAACAGCCAACTTTAACAAGACAAAGTTGTGCCTTTATGGGTGGAAGGAGCAAAGATTGTGGGCATAGCCATGAAAGCAAATAACTGAAGACAGAAAAATACAGCTGAATGAAGATATTACAATAAGAGTGTCAAGGGCTAGAGTACAAATTCAACCGCCTAGTTTTCTTATTCATTTTTCTGAATGGCTCTAGATCCGTGATGGCGAACCTATGGCACACATGGCAGAGGTGGCATAAAGAGCCATTGCCAGCTGCTCTTCTGGTTTCTGGCACCGGCCAGCTAGTCTTCGTGGGTGTTGGAGCACCGGAAAATGGCCTGAAAACATCCAAAAACCATGCCGCTTTTCAGGCCTTTTCCAGGCTATTTTCTGGGCTGTTTTTGGCCCCCAAAACAGCCTGAAAACAGTCTGGAAAATGGCCTGAAAATGGCTAACAAAACAGACATGTGCGTGCTGGGCAGCTGGTCTTCAGGTTTCCGGTGTGTGTGCATGCATGCACATTCCGGTTTGGGCACATGGTCCGAAAAGGTTCACCATCATTGCTCTAGATCAGTGTTTTTCAACCACTGTGCCGTGGCACACTAGTGTGCCGTGACATAGTGTAAGGTGTGCCGTGGGAAAAACACTCGCCTATTGTCAATATAGGCACAGAGTTAAAAAAATTTAACATTTTCTAATGGTGGTGTGCCTCGTGATTTTTTTCATGAAAAAAGTGTGCCTTTGCACAAAAAAGGTTGAAAAACACTGCTCTAGATCATATCTTTCATTAGACTGGAATTGGTATTATACATTTTCTTTTCACAATAATCATTGAAAGAAAAAAAGACAAGCATCTACTCTTAAAATGTTAAAAACAAGCATTGCACCATAGTCTATCAGCTGGAAATTCAATGGATGAATCAATATATCTGTGAAAATATATTTCCTAGCCCCATAATTCTATAACATCAAACTGTCCCATACAAATTAAATCTAAGAATTGTATATACGTCCCATAAATTGTGGCATTCTGAAATAATGTAAAGTGTGGTGTACAAATTTTCACATTTAGTGCATATTTAACAAAATGCAGAATAATTACAATTATCCACTTAGCAAACAAACCTCTTTAATGTTATCTTACCTTAGATATGTGCCATATAGGAAGAAAACTGACACCATCAATCCATTTAGAAGAAATATCATAGCCACATAAAAAGAAGCAGGGTCTCCTAATCCTATCAAATAACAATTCACATTGAAATAAAATACTTCATGTTTTGATTTTTAAATTAAGTTCCACTGTGCAAAAATTCTGCATATATTAATATATTGTTATATAACTAAATTCTCTTTATGTTTAAGTTTGCATTATTTAACTTATCTATTTAATAGGTTTCAAAGGCAACTTCACAAAACAACTTAATAAAAATATGACTGAAGTGAAAAATTTGCATTGTTCCATGCACAAAACATGTACAGCTTCTTAGCTCCAGCAAATGTGGGTGCATTATGATCTGGTCACACCAAAACCTCTTGCTTTTTTTATATTTTGGCCAGATCAGAGGTGGATTCCTACTGGTTTGGACCAGTTCAGCCAAGTAGGTAATAACTCGGCCGGGCACACACCCCAAACTGGTTCTGTGGACGGCGCCATAGGCATCACCATCTTGTTTCTTGCTTCTGCGCATGCGCAGAAACATTTTTATAGTACTGCGCATGCGCACATAGCGTGCATTAAATGCCTGCAGCGCAGCCCTGAGCAAACCGACAGTAGCGGCAGCCAGAACCTATCCCTGGGCCTGATGAATTGTAGACTGGATTTGTTGGACAGAATACTATTTTTCCTTGTCTCTTTCTTTTCACCTCTATTATGTCCCATGAACCTAACCATCACTGATTATCCCAGTTCCTTTCTTATCCCTTCATTTGCTTTTGTCATGTTTAAATTAAAATGCATCCCTTCAACCTACAGAAAGACCAAACAACCACTTTTGCTTATGGGATAAGTAAAGATTTAGTCAGGAAACTGCATTACGTTATTGATTTTGTTTGTGTGTATATTATTACTTAACCTTTTCTGATTATTGTTCTCTTTCTGTATAATCCTAGATTTATTTCATTTCAGGTTATGTCCCCAATTTTTTTTCTTTATTAACTTTTTGTGACTGACAATAATTTGGAAACCATCTCAAGTTCATTCTTAGGAGACTAGCACCATCTTGTGGTCTGCCAGGAACATTATAACTACTTTTGTAAGCTCCTCAAGTAAAATATGTATGTGCTTTATTAGAGGATGGGAGATCAGATGATACTTATTGGAAGACAGTGGTAACTACCAGAAAATGTGGTCAAGTTGTGAATATGCTTGACAGTGTTCGGGATAAGAGTTTTGATACCTCTAGCTGGACACCTTATAGGTTTCAGCAGAATGCTAAACCAGCTTTCATCTGTAAGGAGGAAGAACACGCTTGAGGATCTGAAATCCTTCATGAATTTAGACTGTACTATTTCTAGAAAGGAATAATTGCAATATCATCCTCCCAGAACTCCATTTCAAAATGTAACATAATTTTCAATAATAATAATGATAACTCAGCTTCTTAAAGATGGCCTAGATCATATTAAAATAACTGCAGTCCAGTGGAGGGTTCCTACCGGTTTGGATCGGTTCAACTGAACCGGTAGTGGTTTGGTGGCCTGGGTCGCTGGAACCGGCAGTGACTCAGGCCTGCCACGCCCCTGAACCAGTTCCCCGGTTGGCACAATTAGCACCATCTTATTTTTCAGTTCTGCGCATGTGCAGAACAATTTTATTTGCACTGCGCATGCAGTTTTGTAGAATTTCATCTCCTGGATGCTGCTGGATATAATCTACTAATGTCAGTTTAAAGGCAGCCTCTTTTGAGCTGAATTCATGCTGATTTAATGGATATATACATTATTCTTGACAACATGGAAATGGTTTGCTATTGCTGCTTTCTGATTTTTTTCTTAATTTTCTGATCTAGTCCTCAACTCTGAATTTTCTTGATTATCTCCCATAGAAGTACTCTACATTTTCTAATATAGCCATCCATAATTTGTATTTGCAATGAAAGATTATGTAGCACCAAGACATTGTAATAAACAAAAATAATGTTGAATGACTTGTATTTTGCTTCCATTTGATTTTATTTAAATTTAAAATACTAAACTTTTAAAAAATGAAAGGTCAAATAAAAAACAGCCTAGGTAGACCTTACAGGGCTGCTCATTGACATGAATATTAGTGTAATGCTGCTTGGACTCAAATCTATTTATACATGTTGTGTTTTTATAATTTTAGGTTTCTAAATTATTTATATACCTATATCTGCCAATTTCTTTATTTCCTTTTAACAAGCTAATATTAAGTATTATCCTTTCTGAAAATAAGATTTCTATATTAACACTTCTGCAATACGCACAAATTAGTCAAATGTTAATTGATTAACTAAATATTTAATTAGACCATGGATAACCATAAATTCTAATTCTTAATAACTTTTCAAAAAGGAATTTTTATATTATTTCACACTCCATTTTGTGCAATGTTCACAATGAATAAATAAGGAACACTTGCCTTCACAGCTTTCAACAGGACTCAGACCTTCTCCTCTATTCACAGTCCAACACTTTTGTGTCTGAATGCCAAACAAATTCATTGCCCCTGTATATATGCGGTACCAGCTGGCTAACACAACCTGTGCAGAAAATAGGATTATAATTTCAAAAGAACATTGTTTACCTCAGCAGTTAAAATATTTTTTTCTATGGCTCTTCTTCAGTATCTGAATATTTTAAGATTCCTTTTCTTCCTTCCTGAAACTTCATTTTAATTTTTAGTGTATTTTTTATAAAATGGTAACTGACATTATACAAGCATCCTGTTAAAAACATAAAGACACATTTGCAAACTTTCAAGTTGTTTAACAATAAACTAGATAGCGCATTAAATATTCTGAAGACAATAAAGTACCGTATTTATCGGCGTATAACACGCACCAGCGTATAACACGCATTCCCCATTTTAACACAAAAATTTGAGTAAAAAATTTTTTCATTAAAAATAAATGACTTGGAAGCTCGGAACTTAATGTTGGATTAAAATTTATAACATTAGAACATGAATTATAACATTAACTCCTCTTAAAAGGCAAATATGAAATAAAAAAACACCTCTTTTTTCTTCCTTTTTTCCTTCCTTCCTTCCTATACGTCCTTCCATTTTCTTCCTTATATTATCTTTTCTGTTTCAACAGTCTTTGTTTCTTTCTTCCTTCCTTCCTTCCTTCCTATACGTCTTTCCATCTTCCTATAC